ACAACAAGAATATATCAGAAATACTCTGATCTCAACTTAAAGGATGACGTCCAATCTCTGGTCGTATCCAACGTTTATTCCGCACCTAGCAAATTTCAAGATGCATATTTTAATCGGAAACTTCGTCCACTCTCCTTACTGATCGAACAACTGTGTATATCCTTACTTGTTATACACAAGCTTTTTCACGCCTGTCAGAAATGTTGGGTCCGAAACGTAACATTCTTTTTCAAGGAAGATGATGTAGTTTGTGTTTGGCTACACGTCTGGGATGAAACGTGGAATAGATGTTTTCCAGAATGTACGACACCTCTTCTGGATTTTGACAATAGTCTGTTGGTATTCAAATTTTCGTTTACACTGACATGATCCTACTAGACTAAACATGTCCATCTTGTCTACGAATGACTCGGATGGCCCTCAGTTGACGCCGCAGTACATCAATATAGGATTATTCACCCTCCCCCAGCGAGACTGAAACATCGTTCTTGACGCTATTAATTACTGTCCCGATATCGCACCAGGAACGCGAAACTTAACAGCTACAAGCCTGCAGAAACATATTCACAAGCATTTGGATCTCTTGTAGGAGAAGCTAATTGACCTACAGACCAAGCCAGGTGGCATTTGCAACGCTAAAGCAAGAAGATATACAAAACAGTGCGGTACTAGAACGATGCGAGCAGAAGCATTTGACTTTCGTTGTGAGGCCTGCAGGATATATTTCGCATCTGAGTTTGTAACCCCCGAAACTACCTTCCAGATACACGATACGGGCCTTTCGTAGTTTAGTGCAAGAGATAGAGAGATGCCAGATTCTTTCCTGCAGAGAGAGCCCGATAACGCCTCACAAAAAAAAACTTACCAGTCACCGCAGAGACAGCTATGATTCTAATCCAATATTCCGATGAATTTCATTTCCTATTCGTCTTTTGAGTACTCCCTAGCAACGACATTTGTAAAGCTGGAGTTGATTTATTAGAACTGTTTCGCCTCCGGTTTTGTGACGACGTGTATCAGTCCGCCCTAAAAGGTCTTGTAGACCACATAGAATGGGATGATCGGAAGAATTGTTCGATAAACTGAAGCGACTATTCGCGATCTGCCGCGCCATTCCTCTCAAAAGAGTTTCTAGAATAGAATGGAGGCATGAATAAGAGTGGAATTCGTTAAGCTGACACCAGAGGAGTTCCATTAAAAACTCCGGGCCCCGAGTGATACTCCTACCAACTCCATCTGGATGAATAAGAATTAAGGTCTTAGTAATCGGGGATTTATGAGGAAATTCCACATATGAGAACCACATATGAGATGGGGGAGCAGGCAGGAAGAGCTTATATTTCACTTGCATAAGAGTGATGAGATTCACAATGCGGAGAGGAAAGCTCTATAGAGCTCTCTTCTCTTTTGTAATTGCGAATTTCGTTTTCGTCTTTGATTTTAATATGGCATGGTCGACAGGCAAGGAGAATATACGGACGTTCGGAGCCTGCTTCCAAAAAAATCATTGGGTGTGTAGGGGCGTAGAAACAAAGATAAAATCAAGGGAAAACCAATGCAATGATGTATAGACGAGAGATAGCGATTACTACTTGAGACATATCCGTAGAGATAGTGCCGTGCTTCAATACTTTTTCCCCTCTTTGCTCTAGAATAGACGGCACCCTTCTAGTCCATAAGCTGCGCAGTATTGCGCCACCGGGGAGGATTTTGGCCCACGTAACGACACTTCATACACCGGATCTGCCATCTCGAGTTCAACCAAGTCTTCTCAAAAACATTGCAATCTTTGGCTTGTTATTGTAGTAAGAAATGGTCCGGATTTGAAGTTTCTATCCTTATTTATTGTTCTCAACGCTTTGACTTGTGAGAAGGAGAGATAAGAATCTTCTCATATGATGCGAGCTCCTCAAACTCATTTAATTCAGTACATATATGTTTAAGGACACACCGCATATCCAGTAAAATGTGACAAAGGGAGGACAACTGCACAGCATGTATTTCGTTTCGTTTTTCATTCACACTGTTTATAGACATAATACAAATGATTGTTAGTTGTTCAGTTTCTACGCAGTTGGTGTGTATTTAAGATGGAATCCAGTCTTTTCTGAATTGACAAAGTAGATTGCTTCAGAAAACTGGACCTCGTAAGTGAACTAGAGAAACATGCACATACTCGATTTTATGGATGTGACGGGCAACAAAAAAAGGTCATCCACTTATTGGACACAGTACATAAAACATTCGAACTGATAAGAAACTTGCTACACATCATGTCAAAATGGTACTGTAGGGCTTGTAGAGATGACAGCTAGATGAAAATAAAGACTGTGGTCTCTAGGGTGTCGCATAAATTCAAGCAGAAGGGTAGCGCAGTGCTCCGAAAAGACCACGAGTGACGCGAAAAGAGGGCAAAATGGATACAGGTCTCGGGTAACTGTGGTAGAGCATTATTGAATGGTAGACGTGTTGTGTATGCTGTAGAGTAGATCGACGTGCTCGACGCCCCGGAATGGTACTAAGTGATATACTGCACCGTGAACAGGATTTTGTCTGGTGGTTAAATTAGTGTCGTCCGGGAATTAGTATAGGCTATCATAAATATTGTGAGGAGACGTTCACGGCCTTCAAAATTTGCGAAGACCTCAGTATTTCCATACGCATATCAAGTAGTCTACTTTAATTTCGATTACATTTTGGGATATCTATGCTATTGAGTGCCTGGGCAATATGCCTTCCTCCTGAGTCACTCTGGACTGTAAATTGCACATTTAGAGAGCCTTTTTCGGTAGATGCGACGTACTGTATTCATCAAATGGTTTACAACCGGATACAGGCTTTCAAGCGCATTGTCACGAAAAACAATTCTTCTCATTCCAAATTCGAAACCAACTGAGTTTCCATTCGTCGCGAATAAAGCACGCAGCAGTTTTGGGCAGGAGAAATCTCATCTACAGGGCCGTTCTTCAGGCCCACGTGAGGATCTGCACACTTTGTGCGTGCACGTTGGTCCTTTGAACGAGATTTTCAATAGAATCGAATGGCAAATGCTTTACTTTTGGTGATGGCCTTCTGGTTTCAAAAAACAGAAGTGAAATCACGAAATTGGTGATCTAGAAATAAAGTAAGTTTTGTCCTCATATGAGGAGTACCGGTCCGATAGTGTCGTTTGACGCACCATGTCGGTACTTTGTTGGGAGCAACCACAAGGGGCGACATAATAGATAACTCACGAGGTTTTTATGTGTGAGGGAGATACATACATTGCTGGACTACAGTACCGACAGCAATGAATCATATGTGGATCCGAAGTGTAACGGCAGAGGGAAAATAGCACCATGCCACTCGATCCAGCTGCAGACGGGTAGCATAAGAAGCAAACGGATAGCTGGAAGGTATTTCGGGCAACTGGGCTGTGCTGCGATGCTCTGGAACGAAAAAAAAATTGCATGGATATCGGATATATGAAGCTTTTAGGTAACTCTACAAAAAACACTTAGCGGGTAGATCCCTCCCGAGAATTCCTCTGCACTCAGTGACCAAGTAGGCCTGAGTGCGGGAGGAACAAGGAGGTGAACAGTAAACTCTTTCTGTCCACAAATTGGCAGTGACTCAAAGCACAGCAGAACAGTATTTCCCTTCGCCATGGCGACCGCGTTTAAGTTTTTCGTCAGGTTCGACAATAGTCTGAACATCAGATAGACATGAAAAAACATAAAACAACTTTTGTTATGAATGAGGACGAACGGTCCGATAGACACTAGTGTCTATCCGACTAAGCTTTATCATTACATTAAGCCTGGGAATTTTACTTCTTTTCAACGACGATGTCCACAGTTTCTATTTTTCTTGTGGATGGTTGATTCGCTTTACATTTTTGTTAAGTTAGAGGAGAATAGAATGCACCACGCAATATTTCTATGTTCCTGTTGTAAAATTGGCTTTAAAACGGTTTATTGTAAACCGACCTTTTCTGTTTAACACCTTTATGTGCATCAACAAGGTAGTATTCGCTAGAATGGAAAGCCAAGCGCTTTGCCTGTGGTGATAGCATTCAAGTTGCAAAAAACACAAGTGAAATCGGGCGTTGCGTTGCGTGGGATTTTTTTGTGCTCAAATGGGGACTAACAGTCCGATAGACAGTGGTGAAGGATCGGTGCAACTGCTGATCTGTGAGTAAACGGTGCTAAGTCCTAATCTTTTTGTTGAAAATATCAGACTTTGACGGGGTCAGTGTTTATCTGCGTGCTTACGCACCAACTGCGCGCTCGGCCTAGTGTGACGCGCATTGGCCATAATTGATCAGGGCATGACAATATCAATGTCCCTGCATACGACATATAATTATTCCGTCCTCTACACCCACACTGCTACTAACGCATCCACAGCATGGGCAGTGAAGGTGCAGAATGTCAGATTTGATGTATCAGAGAAGCTCGATGTCAGCCTATCAAGCCTCGTACAAATTCTCATTTTGCAACCTGGATCAAAATGAAGACTTTCGATATCAGGAGCATGTGCATCTGGGTCATCGGGGACAGAAGACAACATCATCACTCGTCCCGGATCCACTTTGAAAGCTCGAAGGCGTACACGTCTTTCGTTGACAGAAACGCCCTGAGGGCGGCGTGTCTTAACAGGCTGGTTTTTGCTTTGCGTTGCCCGGTTTTGCCAGGAATACTTTTAAATTCTTAACAAATACCGTATGCTTCTTAACCCTGTGCCGGGGTTGTAGACGGTTAAAAGTCTGGACCGGTCGGGGGTTTTTGGCATACCTGCGTCAATATGACGAGTTAAGACCCCGGTTGAACGGCTATAGAAGCCGCCACCGACGCTGCACCCACTGCAAAAAGGTCCCATTATAACACAACAAATCATGTACAGGCTAGTCGGTCTCAAAGAATTCGAGCTAGGTCCGATGTGAGAATCGGTCCAAGGTTCTCACTAGTCTCAAAAATTATCTCCGAAACTCCCAAAAGTCTCCCTGAGAAATGTGGCTGTCATTGAGATTTTTGAGAGTTTTGTTCAGATTTGATGCTCTCACTGGCAATATTGCCAGTATATGTAGGTCTCCCTGTGCGTACTGTGGCCCAACCCTCTCTTTGAGATTTCACAAAAACCATCTCTAAATTACAGTATAGTGACGGAAAACCTTCTACAACTAGGCACAGGGTTAAGCCCTTGCTTTTCTTAAACACATAAATTAAAACGTAGGAGCCACTCATAGCACGCCAAATCACTTCTTTGAGCAAAGCAAAGCAAACCGCAGCAAAACGGGGCATGTTAAGACACACCCTGAGGGTGTGTCTTAACATGCCCCGTTTTGTCTTAACATGCCCCGTTTTGGGTGCATTGGCGTTCTGCAACCCTCCGACAGTGCTGGCGCCAAATCCTGGCGACACATGTCAGCACCCCTGCTGCAGATAAGGCACTGGCTTTAGGGCACACGAAACAGCAACTGCATCAAGCCGCCTGCGACTCCCCCCACATGCTGGAGAGCGGAGTTGTATCATACCGTACCGGTGTTCCCGGGACCACTCAGTCGAGGGTTTGGCATGGGACAGCCTTTTCGCTTTCACTTCCCTTTTCCTCTCTCGCTGTGAGTGTGCGTGTTGTCCTATGAAACGAATGCCGTGTGGGACCGGGTGTATTCTTCCTCGTAATGATGATTTGCTGTGTGGACTGAACTTTCACTTCCTATTGATGATATACTATAGTTTGTATGAGAGTATAACGATCTTTTATGGTCGTATTGTAGTTCCTCGCAATTTGGTTTATGTGAGCGAACTGGGTTGGGGTAGTATAAAAGGGTAGGCTTCTGACTCGACTAGCGAGAAGAAGAGAGGGCCCAGCGAAAAAAGCAGATACACATAACACATCAAGGTCAGAAGCTTCCGTCCGTCGGAAGACCTGGATAAGTAAAACACCGTTTGTCGGTGTCACCGTTTTTTTTTCCAATCACTGTATTTTCCAGCCTCATTTTTCAGTATTTCTACACTCGCCTCGCGTCTCTCACCTCGCCGACATAAAGTATGTTGAATTCGCCTTGTTGGACTTGCAGCTTCTTTTAATTGACGTCACCAATACCGAAAATGATTAGCAAAAAAAACTGTAAACAGATCCAAAGAGGCAAATTATACCCTATTGTGCTGACCCAGTGCAAGTTCTTCGACTCTTGAAATCATTTTCTCAAATCCCTTTTTTCAAATCACCAACCCACCCACCCTCTTCTCGCCCCCCCGGCACATCCGAGCGTCCAAGAACAACAACCCCAGCTATGAACTTCATAGCAGCACTCACGTGCTTCATGCTCGTCGGGATCCCGTTCCTCGCGAGCCGAGGGCATGCGAGTGGGGCGCTGGGCCCGTGCAGAACAGAAGACGATTGTTCACGCACTACTCTCCAGTGCCGGGACGCGGCCGACGGACGCGACTGTTCTGAAGATGCTGTGTATTGCTTCTGTCTCTCGTCATCCTTTGAAGATTATTTGTGCTCTCAAGATTCAGACTGCGCAGACGACGAAACCTGCATCGAGCTGCAGACAACGGCCGCCACGTTTGTGTCGTTGCCGATAAGTGACATATGTCTCGACAATGCCCAAGTTCCGTTCCTTGAATCCCCCAAGCCGTGTGAAAGTGATGAAGACTGCGACTCAAACGCTGCTTGCGTGGGGTCGTCGGACGGGAAGCTGTGTGTCAGCGCACTCGGTTCAGAGGATCCAGAAGGTGGCGCCCAACCACCAAGTGATTCAGACGATGATGGGTCGCCCTCGACTGAGAATCCCGCCGCAACTGAGGATGCGAGCTCCACAGAGAATGACGACGACGACGACGACGACGACGACGACAGCGATATTTGCATCGCGGTGAGCTCGCTTGGCGATGTACCTCAACACCAATTCGTGTTTAGCCGCCATGCGAAAGCGCGAGTGCTGTGCGACAAGCAGGGGAGCTGTGCAACAAGAGGCCATATGGTGCAGTATGGCGAGGAGGTCATGATGATGCAGACGTACTGCCAGCGCGTGCGGTGCACCGATAACATCATGCTCGTCAACAGTCTGCGATATTCGCGACAGGCCAAATTCCCCTCCCGCACGGATCGTCTCATGTTCACCACGTTCGCAGCCCGGTACAACACGGCCGTGGAGGAAAATGTGCTCAGATTTGCTATCTATAGCGGTCTTTGATCAACTAAGTGTCAGATGCGTACGGCGAATTGGTAATGGGGTCGATGCTTCTTGCAGAGTATGAGTATATCCGAGAGACATTCCCATACTCTGCATCGCTTTACAGGTTAGTATGTTTGACATGCTTGGAAAGAATTCTGGAGGTGACAGGGCTTGTATTGTGAGTGCATTGCAACGGATAACCTACTGAAACAAAGTTAAACTGCCAACGGCAAGTAGTAGCCAGAAGGTGATCTTGAAACGCGGTTTCTTCTCAAAGTACGTGAGGGACGCATGGTGTCGTTATTCTCAGCACTAGTAATTGGGATCCCTGTTCCTCCCAACAGACGTCGAAACCGGCGCTATCAGCTTTCTCATTCTGCTTGGCCTTTCAGCCTTTTATACAGCGAGGGTCTGCAACCCGATAAGCGACCGTGGTACGACCACTTCATACGTACACGCGTGTCAATACATAGGTCAAGGGGAAAGTGTTGCGTTGGAGCGCTTATCACGCGATCGGCAGCCCCCCACACCACATCAACAAGTTGATAATATTGAAGAGGAAAGGTGAAGAGTTGCATCATTATTAGCCATGACGTCACCTACTGTACCGTAAGTACTATCCCCGTAAAGTAGAATGTTGTCTTGTCGCACTGCATCTCTTTTTTCCCGAGGGTTGCAGGATACCTAAGAATTAGAAATACTTTCAGTGAATTCTAGTCTAGAGTATGATTTCGTACCAGTTTGCCAGGGGACTGGGATTTGATATGTCTCCGCAGTATTGGAAATGCGCTGTTGAAGTTCGCCACAAGAAACGAGACTGGGGAACCCTTTTCCGGCGTAGCCCTCGAGGACGTGGTTGGCAAAGTCAGGGACTCCATCGCGGATCAAGCATCCGAACCTCCATCAGGTTCTTCCTGTCACCAGTGATCTTGGAACCTTTACTTTAGTAAGCCCAGAACGCCGGATGAAGTCCATCGTATTATGTTCAAGTTGCAGATTTCTTCAGATCTACGAAACAGTTAAGATAGGACTCTAGAATGAATACGCTCTTGATGAAGTGAGCGATTGTGAACAGCGGGCTGCAATTTTATCCAGAATCTACTTGCGAGATACACTAAGTTTGTCCGTGAAGTCACGAGAACGCGTGTTTTGGCGGCGAGTTTGCTCAGATTTTCTGCACGCAAAATTTTCAAACAACTCGTTTGGCAAAACTCACAGCATACCGAAAACTAGGGGCATGTGAGTTTTCCACGAGTTTCACATCCGCATGACCACAGCAGTGCCGGATCGATCCGTCTTGAAGGAAAACGAATTGGGTCTTCCGTTCTTTTCATCAGCTCAAACGAGTCTCAGACTGCACGGGTCGTATCGATATGCGCCATGGACGCCCCTATCGCTTCACCTGCGCAGATTCCATCAACGGATCAAAGCGCGACAGGGTCTGCCACAGATGCCGCCGAAGCAACCGCGAAAGATAGACAAGTAGAAGCTTCTAAAAAGGCGGTCCTCTCCAAACGGCCCCCCTCAGCCTGTAAAGCAGACGAAACACATCGCCCTTTCGACTGTGAGAATCTTTCTGTCCTTGTGGCGAGCTACCCTTCCACGGGGGCTTAATTTGGGACGGGGTTTATTTTGGGACAGCGTTATTATTTACCTATGCCAAGCGTCCTTCTGGCACTTGAGACCCAACCAAAGCGCGCCAAGTGCTTCGTATCATGTTGAGGAACATCTTGAATTAAACTGCTTTCGAAAAAAGGCGGGTCGATCCGTGATAGGACTCTTCAAATAAAAGGGGAGTGGTAGAAATCGATAGATTGACCGCCATCAACCGCGGGATTGCCTCGAGATGCCTCTCTCGATGCGGCGTCAAACGCTTCTGGCGATCCGTAGACAGGTACGTGACCAAGATTTAGCGGAGAGAAGAAAAAAAGCAGCCGAAATGATCCGCAAGAAGCATTCTGTCCGCCATGTTGCCGACATTTGTGGAATTTCAAAAGGAACTGCAGGACGCATTGCAACAAGTATTAACGCAAAAGACCACCAGTCCCTTGCAAAGCTGCTTGACCCTGCTAACAATCGGCCTGGTAAAAAGACAGTATGGACACCTAAGGAGGCTGTAAGGCTCAACGATAAAATAAAAAGTGCCGCTTTGCATGGGTTTTCGGTTGACAAGAACACAATGAAAGCCACTTTACAAAAATTGGCAGCTGATGGTAGGCCTGGATACAAGAACTCCACTCCCTCTGATGCTGCAATACGTACATATAGAGCCCTGAATCGTGATATAACCTATCGCAAAGCAGAAAACAAAGATGCTGCAAAGCTTGGTGCGGAAATTTTTGAACATGTCAACACTTTTGCCAAATGTATGGCTGATGTCGAAAGAAGGCATCCAGGAATTTTTAACGATCAGAAAAGACTATGGAATATGGACGAAACGCACGTAGACGGGGAGTTCGGTCGCCGCATAAAAACCTTCACTAACGCAAGTTCTCACCACGGTGGATTTAAGTCAGTGCAAAGGGGTTCCGAAAAACACGTCACGGCAGTGCTCGCAGCTTCTGCCAGTGGACATATGGCACCACTTTTCTGCATTGCCGCGGGGAAATATATAATGGAAGATTGGATCAAACCGCTACCGCGAACCTTTTTTAAACATGATAATGGGGCTCCACACTGGCTGGCAGAATCGGGGTGGTTGCCAAGCGAATTTGTGCTTCGGTGCACTCAAAATGGATCTATCGAGAAGCAGACGCTTCCAATGTTTATCGAGCATTTTGACAAATATGTGCGGTAGATCGTCCATCGAGACGTAGCAGTAGCGCTCTTTCTTGATGGAAACTCCTCTTGCAATGGCATCGAATGGGTGGAGGAGGCGCAGAAGCGCAACATTGAGGTGCTTGTGCTGCCAGCGAACACCACCCATTTCTTGCAGCCTTGTGACGACGAAATCAACAAAACGTTCCAAAGGGCAGTGAGAAAAACCAGGGATGATCTCATGGGAATGGCCGTCACGAATGTGCACGCGCCTGGATTCAAGATAAAACTGGCTGTCGCGGGACACGCGGCAATTACTGCTCAGAACGTACGCGATTCATTTATTAACACTGGCATGTGGCCTGTAGATTATCGTTTCGCAAACAGAATGAGGGAACGAAAAGGGGCAGTACAGAAAGTCGAGAAGCAGGTCCAGGGCATTACTAATGGAGGACCGGCAAATCGGTTGACCAGCGTCTGCCTTCTTCGTAGCGATGCGCGAACGTTTGAAGACATCAAGCGGATTGTAGGGAATGAGTCGCTGCCCAGTGCTTCCATTGAAGCGATATCGAGGGTTCTCAGGGAGAACCAAACAGTGAGTTCTATACTGCGGGGAATAAAGCCTGTGCCTACTGTGAGTGGGACTAAGAGCACAAAGAAGGTTCTTGGATGTGGGGCACCCGCTGCTTGCTTGACAGTTAGGAACCTCGTTCAGATTAGAAAGAAGAATGAGGAGGCAGCACGGGCGGCGGCAAAAAATAAAGAGCTGCAGAAGGAATAGCGCGCGAGGCAGAAGGTGTTGGAGCAGAAAAAGCGAGTGCTTGCTCGCTTGGCAAGGGAGGAACTCAAAAAAAGCGAGCGATGAAGAAAGTGGGGAGGAGTGCTGGGAAGGGTCTGGTGAAGCGCGCAAAGGTTGGTAAGCAAGGCGTTGGCAGTATACTTGGCATTGATTCAGCTACGCGCAGTTCACCGACAGGAAGTGATGGCGAGGCGGCGTTGCTGTTGATGAATATGGCGAGTTCTACATGAAATTGGGGATCTCCGCGCTGTCCCAATTTGAACCCTTTTTGTTGTAAACGATCCGATTAGGTCGGCGATTATGAGTCGTCATACAGTCACTCGTGGTTCTCCAATCATCTTCTTTAGGCGTGGACTTGATTGAACACGTTAGAACGCTGTCATCCGTGTCCTTTGTTGACCAGTGGGATTCGTAACTGGGGAGAACTTTGGGGTCCAGTTGAAATCCGTCCCAAATATAGCCCCCCGGGAAGGGTACAATATTCGCTTCAGCGAGTATTCGCGCGAGTGCACGTGATCCGTCTGCCGGCACAACGATGTACCAGACTTGCGTTTGTTGCGGGCTGGCACCGTACCCTGCTGGAAAGTCCGCAAAACTCGTGGTGGAATTTTTCAATCTCGGGTTAACCTTAAGTCCGAGTTTGTGGGCAAAAGGAAAAAAATAACGCGTTGTTTTAAAATGTATATGTTTTTGCAAAGGTGTAAAGCAGTCGGTGGGCCAGAGCGGGAGGTCGAGGTTTGGAGGCGACCGCACTTGAACAGTAAGTACCCTAAGTACCCTGGTACAGTGGACCCTACGCATTAGTGCCGCCCTGTGCGAATACTCAAAAAACGGCACTAATCTGGAGCGGCAGTGATCAGTTGAGTGAACCATTGCCAGTCCAAAACTCTGTAATTAAAGTCTGTTGTTGTTTCCGATCATGGCTCTCATGCCTTGTTAGGGCGAAAACGGGGTACGTCGTCCCGTGTCTTACCCGTGTGCGTTTTTTTGTGATGTTCCTGTCCTCAGCCGTACAGGACGACCGAAAACCACCGCATTTATACTCTTCTTGCGCGCGGTCTACAATTACTAACTTAAACTTCCAATTACTTACACCGGTCCCAACCACGTGTCACACAACCCCCCACTTAGGCGGGGCCACGGGTCCCGGCCACTCAAATTTTGCTTTTGATTTTGATTTTTTCACCCTCCAGCCTATATCAACACAGACCTGGGGCTTGGACCCCCCTTCCCTTCCTGTGGTATCTGCCGTCGCTCTCCGTTCGCCTTTCTCGCTCCATCCCAGCTTCGGTTTAGCTCTTTCGGCCTCCTGGTTCCTGCGCTGCTTAGCTCTCGCCGCTCTTCCGCGTTGCCTCCGTGGTCCTCATCGTAGCTTAGACCTCCTGTTTCCCGCCAGATCGAGAGGCACGCAGGTGGGGTTTCAGTCCCCGTGTGCCCTCTTTGGCCCCCCTCATAGCGTAATACGATGGCGAGGACCAAGCAGACAGCGGCGAAGAGCACGAGAGGTAAGCGTCCACGGAAGCAGCTCGCACAGGGACAATCCCACCGCCATCCTTCTGCGACGGTATCCATATAGGACTTGACGTAAAGCATCGTCCCACTCAACAATTGTAGCCGAGGCACCGAGAATCATCTTACGGACTGCTCTCTTCAATGTGCCGACCATCCGCTCTGCCTGTCCGTTCGACATAGGCGCATAGGCGAGCACTGTCTTCCACTTAATCCCGTTTCGTGCCATGAAGGTATTCAGGACCGACGTTGTGAAACAAGTAGCGTTTTCCGAGACAACGACACGTGGTAACCCAAAACAGTGGATTATCTCTTCTTTCACGAACTTCAGCACCTCCTCTGCCGTCGAGGTGACGGTGGCCTTCGCAATTGGCCAGCCAGTCAGGTGCTCCACGGCAATAAGGATGTACCTCCCTCCAGAGGGCGTACGAGGCAATGGTCCCGCAAAATCGATAGAGTATGTATCAAATAACGAAGTCATGGGAAATCGAAGGGTGGTCTTGTACTTCGGAATTGGTGTGGCTTTCTGACAACCGTCACAACCCCGGACGTAGTCGTTCACGTCTCGGTGGACGGCAGG